CTTGCTCCTGACTGTACTTTAGCATCACCTAAGGAACCCTAAAAATACTGATGCCGAGGCTGTACCTCAGCATTGAATTGGAACCTCTGTGGGTGGGACCCAAGCCTCTGCAGTATTATTTTTAAGCTCTTCAGCTTATTCTTATTCTCCGAGAGGGTTGAAGGTTGACAGTCCTGTAGCGTTAAGTCTGGCACTAAATTGATTTGACCTACTTTTTGAGTATTCAGACAAAGAAAGAAAAGCAAACTCTAGAAAAAGCAATGGACAGTGACTGCCCCCAGAGGCAGGTCAGCCTCAGGAACGTCTTCAGTAGTGAATAACACAAGGAATGTAAAAATACTGAAAACTGAAAATCATAATACAAATAAATCATTGTTTGGTGCTTTTATTGTGTCCTTATTCTAAGGATCATATTTGTACATATGTCCCTCTATAGGGACTGGTTAATTCTGATATATTATCATGTATTGAATATTTAAGGAAAGGTTCCAAATGCAAATTGACTGCAGGACATGCTCCTCTCTTGGCATTGAGGTATGACAATATGCTCAGTATTGCCAACCAGAAAAGCGTCCCTAACTTCAACGTCCAGAGTTTTTTTTTTTGAGACGGAGTTTCACTCTTGTTACCCAGGCTGGAGTGCAATGGCGCGATCTCGGCTCACCGCAACTTCCGCCTCCTGGGTTCAGGCAATTCTCCTGCCTCAGCCTCCTGAGTAGCTGGGATTACAGGCACGCACCACCATGCCCAGCTAATTTTTTGTATTTTTAGTAGAGACGGGGTTTCACCATGTTGACCAGGATGGTCTCGATCTCTTGACCTCGTGATCCACCCGCCTCGGCCTCCCAAAGTGCTGGGATTACAGGCTTGAGCCACCGCGCCCGGCTTGTCCAGAGTTTTTACTGGGGCTTCATTTGTAGGCATGATTGATTGATTGATTACCCCATGGTTGAACTCAGTCTCCCCCTACAAAGATTGGGCTGATATCACATGGCCCAATGGAACTGCCATGAGTCAACTTGCTAGCATAAACCAGTAGGTCTGGTCTGCAGGATGGTGAACATGAAAAACAAAGGCACTCCTATCATTCCAGAAATTCCAGGGTTTTAGAGAGTAACTCTAAGGACAAGGTCAATTTTTTTGCTACACATACACGGAAACTGAAATTTAAGCTGTTATGCTGGTGTTATTTAACAAAATTATAAAAATTGAAATTTGTGTGTAAGAAAATTGTGCATCTATTTACACATGCATGAATTGCCTACAGAAAATTGAAAGCAATGTTTTCATTTGGGAAGACAGTTTGTCAGAATGTAGCAACAAGCCTTTTAAAAAGCATACATTAGATTCAGTGATCTCATACTGTGACTAATTCAAAGAGCAACATCAAATATTCAAAAATTTATCTCAAAAAAATGAAAAACAACCTAAACTGGAAAATGTTCATATTTTAGGGTGTCTAATGCAGTTATTTTCATGCATAAAATTGAGAAATGTTTTTATATAATGCTACTTGAAAACGTATAAAATTATATATGTGACATGATTCAACCTATATTTCAGAAGGCATACTTAATTTTGTATACTAGTTATCTTTAATCCCTAGGGGAAAAAAGTAATTGCTAACTCATTTTGCTTTGCTCTGTATTTCAATTTTTCTACAAGCTGGAGTTCTTAGAAAATTTAAAATTTAGGCTGGGGATGGCGGCTCACGTCTAATATCCCAGGACTTTGGGAGGCTGAGGCAGGTGGATCACTTGAGGTCAGGAGTTTGAGACCAGCCTGGCCAGCATGGCGAAACCCCATCTCTACTAAAAATTAAAAAAAAAAAAAAATTAGCTGGGCGTTGTGGCACATGCCTGTAATCCCAGCTACTTGGGACGGTGAGGCAGGAAAATCACTTGAACTGGGAGGTGAAGGCTGCAGTGAGCCACGATGGTGCCACTGCATTTCAGCCTGAGCAATACAGTGAGATTCTGTTTCAAAAAAAATTTTTTTTTAAATTTAAAACAGATATTAAATACTTTTGCTTTTGGCATATTTCTTATTGAGGTACCAATTGAACATTGAAAAGTGATTTTTATAAAAATAAAGTCTTTAGAAAAAGAAGATTTAGAGTAGACTTTTATAGTTTATATTCTATGCAAGATTTTGGTGAGTATGTAACCTTTTTATCCGGCATTTTTTGGGGAGGTAGAGATGGTGCAGGACTTCTATTAGATGTTAAAGAATATGCAAACTCAGAAAAGTTAAGAGGCACTCAAAGAAAATTCAAAAGGAGCAAAGCAGATGAAACTGTAAACAGAAGATGGAAGAGTAACATTTTGATGGGGACAACAAGTCATAAAAGGTTTTCTTAATACAAAAAGAGCTAGTATTGCAGGACAATTTAAAAGGTATGGGTTTGAAATTGGTGGACCTGGGGTCAAAGTTCAGTTCCATCACTTAACTAGAATTTTCATGTGAGCAAAGTTACTGAGTACCCCCGCTATGGTTTGAGTATTTGTGTTCCCCAAATTATATGTTGAAACTTAATCTCCAATGTGATAGTTGGAAGAGGTGGGGCCTTTGAGGAAGTGATTAAGTCATGAGGGCAGAGCCCTCAGGGAGGGGATTAGTACCCACATTAAAGAGGCCAGAGGGAGTTTGCCCTCTTCAGCCATGTAAAGACACAGCTGGAAGTCACCATCTATGAAGCAGACACCAAATCTGCTGGTCCCTTGATCTCAGACTTCCCAGGCTCCAGGACAATGAGCACTTGCTGTTGTTCATTACTGCATCTAAGACGTTCTGCTACAGCATCCGAAATTGACTAAGACACTCCCAGAGTGTATTGTGTATCTACTCCCAGTCTAGAATATTCATTAAAGCTGCGTGAGAGTTGCTAAGTACCGTGCTAGGCAGTTTACAGGTGGCAGCTCATTGATATAATGACCCTAGGACGCAGGTAATATTGTCCTCATTTTAAAGTAAGAAAAGTGAGGCCTACCCAACAGGATAAAAAGGAACCTGCAGTCAGCACTTAGCATATGTTGGCAAAAGAAACTAGAAACTGCTGGTTTCCACGCCTACTGAGTGTAACAATGTTATTCTTGCCACAGAGCCATTCTTACCCTTTCCTATCTGCCCCTCTCCCTAATGCATTGGGGACTGCTGGAAATACAAATTAACATTTTTACTTTAATCCTCATTGGAACCCTTGAAGGAGTACATATTCCAAACATGGCCAATTCACTTTCCCCGGAGGGACTCTGGAATGCAGGTCAGACTGAATGTTCATGGAATAAAACAAGTCTGTTGAGGGATTTTCCTCTAAGACAAAAAGTCCGTGAGTAGAATACGGTAATTTATTGTTGAGAATGATAGAAGTTGTGATTATTGAGAATACCATATTATACCCACTTCAGGAAGACTCCTTCTATTCATTCTCCATCCACTCCACCAATGTTTGTTAAGCAGCTAATTAGTGTCAGATCATCCCTAGGATCCAGGCACAGCAGGGAACAGACAGACACAAATCTCCTTCCAGGCACAGGCTCTTAAGGTGGCTTACGTACTTTTCAAGCCTGTTATGTCTAGCCATTTTAATGAGCATACACATATATTTCTGGAAAATTCCTGGTTAAAATTGGGTCTCAAGAAAGGAGGGTATTAGATTACTTGAAGCAGTAGACCTCTGCCCCCTAGTGACACAGGCTGCAAATTTTAGGGATAGTGCGGAAAGCAGTGGTCCCCAGTCTTTTTGGCACAGGTGATTCGTTTTGTGGGGGACAACTTTGCCACAAACCAGGGTGGGAGAGATGGTGTCGGGAAAATTCAAACGCAATTGTGCAATTTATTTCTAGTACGATCACAGTGTGATATATAATGAAATAATTATGCAACTCATCATAACACGGAATCAGTGGGAGCCCTGGGCTTGTTTCCCTGCAATGGGTCCCATCTGGGGATGATGGGAGACAATGATAAATCATCAGACATTAGATTCTCATAAGGAGCACACAGTCTAGATCCTTCGAATGCACGGTTCACAGTAGGATTTGTGCTCCTAGGGGAATCTTTTTAAAAAAATTATTTAAAATTTATTTTTATCTTCTGGAGACGGAGTTTTGCACTTGTTGCCCAGACTGGAGTGCAATGGCTCGATCTCAGCTCATTGCAACCTCCGTCTCCCGGGTTCAAGTGATTTTCCTGCCTCAGCCTCCCAAGTAGCTGGGATTACAGGCTCCTACCACCACGCCTAGCTAATTTGTTTTTTTGTTTTTTTTGTATTTTTAGTAGAGATGGGGTTTCACCATGTTGGCCAGGCTGGTCTTGAATTCCTGACCTCAGGTGATCCACCCGCCTTGGCCTTTCAAAGTGCTGGGATTATAGGCATGAGCCACCGCGCCTGGCCCTTCCTATCAGAATGTAATGCGGCTGCTGATCTGACAGGAGACAGAGCTCAGGCAGTAACGCCATGACGGGTAGTTGCTGTAAATACTGATGAAGCTTTGCTTGCTCCCCTGCTGCTCACCTCCTGCTGTGTGGCCCAGTTCCTAACAGAGGGCGGCCCAGTCCCTAACAGGCCACAGACCTGTACCAGTCCAGGGCTCAGGGGTTGGGGACCCCTGTCCTAAAGGAAATAAGGTCATTTGTTAATCTTATAAACCTTGCATTATAAGACCATGATGTGATACTTCTAAATCACATTTGTGTCAAAAATCTTGCTTCTAACCTTTAAGCTGTCCATGTTCATTCTTGGGCATAGGCTGAACTAACTTTGGGAAGGAATTCAGTTCATGGTTTGACTCTGAAACAAAATTGCCCTTTCCCAAAAAGACTCCCTTCTTGCCTGCGGACCAGTCTGTCTTTGCAGGACTAACAAATTAGACAAGATTAGAAATTACATTTTAGGGGTCATGCGGCCTCTGGCTCCAACAGTCTGAACTTCCCCAAATTGTTCCTGGAGATAACATCACTATTGTAAAACTTAAGATCAGCACTTGAGATTTTTGCAGACCCTGCACACCATGGATCAGCTGACACCGTCTAGACCAGTCATCTGGCTCAACCAGTTCTGCCGTCCCACCCAGGAACGGAAAACAGCAAGAAAAACTCACTGGGATTCCACCTCCAAACTGGACAATCAGCACTCCCCACTTTCCAAGCCCCTACCCACCAAATTTAAAGGCTCTGATCCTTGAATGTTCAGGGAGACTGATATGAGTAATAATAAAACTTTGGGCTCCCACACAGCTGGCTCTGTGTGAATTACTTTTTTCTCAATTGCAAGTCCCTTGTCTTGGTAAATTGGCTCTGTCTAGGCAGCGGGCAAGGTGAATCCATTGGGCAGCTACAGTAGTCTTAAAAGGAGCTACAGACTTAACTCTTGCAATACAAATGTGATGTTGTTGGCAAGTCTGTTCCTTGCCTAAATTGTTAATTATTATTATTGCAAAGAAAATGTTACTTCATCTCTTCCTTTTTGTTCATTCTTTCCTTTTCTCTTTGTGGTGGTAATAAAGAGTAGCAGAAGAATGCATTACTTGGGGTTCTTAAAGTTCTTAATCTACTGGAGTTTGTAGCATGATTCTTATTTCTTTGTACCTGGTAGCAAAGAGTGAGATAATTCACGTGTTTTGTTAACAGAGCAAATGTAGCCAATGTTGAAATGTAAGACTCCATTAGTTTCTGTATAGGTCACTTAGCTTCCTGCTATCTCATGGCCATAGAATGTGGCTTTGATTAACTCTGGTCGGCCATTGTGAAAATATGCACTGAAAGTTATCCAGTGGATTGTGTGAGAGGTGGTCACAAGGTAGAAATCCACCAACACCACAGAAAACCAGCTTCAGGCAACTATCCCCCTTGGTACCTGGTTGGCATTATTATCCTAAATCTGAGATAATAAACACTATGTAACAAATTATGGACAAATTATTTATTATTCATGGCACTCCAGATGAAGAGATATCTTTGCATTTCAGATAACTAATGTCCAGTAAGTGACAGATACACTGCCACAGATAGAAATTTGGAAATTTTTTTTTTTTGAGATGGATTTCACTCTTGTTGCCCAGGTTGGAGTGCAATGGTGTGTTATCTCGGCTCCCTGCAACTTCCACTTCCCAGATTTGAGTGATTCTCCTTCCTCAGCCTCCTGAGTAGCTGGGATTACAGGCATGCACCACCACACCTGGCTAACTTTGTACTTTTAGCAGAGATGGGGTTTCTCCATGCTGGTCAGGCTGGTCTCAAACCCCAGACCTCGGGCAATCTGCCCTCCTCAGCCTCCCAAAGTGCTGGATTACAGGTGTGAGCCACTGCATCTGGCCAAATAGAAACTTAAAAAAAATTATTTACTTTATTTGTATTTGACATTATAAAAGAGCTTTAAAGCACTAACCCTTTTCTAGTCATTACAGGAAAGCCTCACACGCATGTGCACATTATAGAAAAGCCTCACCCACACGAGCACATTGACATGTGCTTGACAAAACCGTGGAGCAGAGCTTCAAAAGAATGCTCCGTACCAATGTATACTGCTCAGGTGATGGGTGCACCAAAATCTCACAAATCACCACTAAGGAACTTACTCATGTAACCAAATACCACCTGTTCCCCAAAAACCTATGGAAATAAAAAATGCAATATAATAGTAATAATAAAGAATGCTCTGTCTTTCTGTTAGAAGATGCCTCTCTCAGCTCTGTTTTCTCAGCTGACAGTCAAGGTTTCTGTTGTGGGGTGGAGGTGAGATTGGTAAAGAGTTAATAACATTTACCTATGGGCAAGAAGAAAATTAATTAGAAAATTAGTTTCACACAATAGTGGTTGGCTGTTGATTTTTTTTCTTAGAAAACATTTTAATATTTAGTCCTTTCCATTGTGAAAACTCAAAATGAAGCGTAGACTTCTAGTGGCTTCTCTCCCTTCAGATTTTAGCATTCAAACGTGTAAATTACAATTAGATTAAAAAGTTCAATACTTCAAAGGAGTTGCTGGATTCTAAGGAGGGAATGGCAAACTGTTAATTTTGTTCTCCTAATGCAGCCTTTAGTGATCTTAAAAGTGACTATGTTTATAGAAATTATTTAAGCAGAGCTGGTGGTTCTTGCCTGTAATCCTAGCACTTTGAAAGGCCAAGGTGGGTGGATCACCTGAGGTCAAGAGTTCAAGCCCAGCCTGGCCATCATGGTGAAATCCCACCTCTACCAAAAATACCAAAAAAAAAAAAAAAAAAAATTAGCCAGGTATGACTGCAGGCACCTGTAATCCCAGCTACTCAGGAGGCTGAGGCAGGAGAATCACTTGAACCCAGGAGGCCAAGGTGGATGGATCACGAGGTCAGGAGATGGAGATCATCCTGGCTGGTTAACACGGTGAAACTCCATCTTTGATAAAAATACAAAAAATTAGTCGGGTGTGGTGGTGCACACCTGTACTCCCACCTACTTGGGAGGCTGAGGCAGAAGAATTGCTTGAACCCAAGAGGCGGAGGTTGTAGGGAGCTGAGATCGTGCCACTGCATTCCAGCCTGGGCTACAGAGCGAGACTCTATCTCAAAAAAAAAAAAGAAAGAAAAGAAAAGAAATTATTTAAGCAGATAATGGAGCAAACTTTTTTTTTTTTTTTTTTTTTTTTAAGATAGCGTGTCATCCTGTCACCCAGGTTGCAGTGCAATGGTGCAATCTCGGCTCCCTGCAACCTCCTCCCTCCTGAGTTCAAGTGATTCTCCTGCCTCAGCCTCCTGAGAAGCTCAGATTACAGGTGCCTGCCACCACACCCAGTTAATTTTTTGTATTTTTAGTAAAGACGGTGTTTCACCATGTTGGCCAGGCTGTTCTCGAACCCCTGACCTCAGGTAATCCACCTGTCTCGGCCTTCCAAAGTTCTGGGACTACAGGCGTGAGGACCGTGCCCAGCTGCAGCAAACTTTTAACACACTAAACAGCTACAATTCTTTACTGATCATAACTCTAATAAATTTACAGGAAGCCAGGATACTTTTCAGAGCTTTCCCAATCAGTCAGAATCCACAATGGCTCTCTTAGAGGGAAGCAGGGGTGATAAATGGACATACCTTACAAAGCATCATGCAAGTAACATTTTTAGATGAACTACATTAATTTAGGCATTCAACCTTGAGGTTGTAAAACAATTATCTCTACTTTTATTTAAAGTAACACATATGCTTGTATATTTAAAAGCTGGTCATATAGACTGGGTCATTCTTGTCACACCCAACTAAAACAGAGTCAAGAGCCAGGGGGAAAAAAGCACTCAGGTCACAAAACATTGCTCCAATAATGTAATCCACTGCAAGCTGGCTATTGAAGCTGGCTACTCTAGCCTGAAACCAGTTTATCTAATAGCTACTGAAATAACTTGCTACAATTCCACCAGTCACGCACGAATCAGAGCTTGCCAGCTCGCAAAAGCTTTACTAGTGCCAATTAATTTTCTTTCAAAACAATATGTAACATTGCTCCTTTTGGTAAAATGTCCAACCTTCTCTTTGTTCTTCAGACACAATGAAGAGCATCTCGTCTGTGTGTTTGCCCTGAATTGGAATTCTTGCTTCCCAAATAAAATGTTTTAAATGTAGAGATTTATCTTTGTATTTTATACAACTTTGACATACTCATAGTTTTTCCTTGTTTGTTTTGTTTGAGATGGGATCTCGCTCTGCCACCCAGGCTGGGGTGGAGTGGCATGATTATAGTTCTCACTACAGCTTTGAATTCCTGGGTTCAAGCAGTCCTTCTGCTTCAGTCTCCCACGTAGCTGATTCTATAGGTGCGAGCCACCTTGCCTGGCTAATTTTTTTTTCTTTGTAGAGATGAGATCTTAGTACATTGTCTAGGCTGATAGCCAACTCCTGAGCCTCAAGTGATCCTCCTGCCTCAGTGTTTCAAAGCTCTGGAATTACGGATGTGAGCCATTCACATCGTTTCAAAAGCCAAATTGTCCATTAATTTCCTGTCTCCACCTCCCTATCCCAAATCCTGCTCCTAGTTACAATCATGTTTAGCTTATTTAGCAATGTTCAATGATCTTACTTTTAAATATCATAGTTTGTTGTCTTTTTTTTTTTTTTTTTTTTTTTTGAGACGGAGTTTCGCTCTTATTACCCAGGCTGGAGTGCAATGGCGCGATCTCGGCTCACCGCAACCTCCGCCTCCTGGGTTCAGGCAATTCTCCTGCCTCAGCCTCCTGAGTAGCTGGGATTACAGGCACGCGCCACCATGCCCAGCTGATTTTTTTGTATTTTTAGTAGAGACGGGGTTTCACCACGTTGACCAGGATGGTCTCGATCTCTTGACCTCGTGATCCACCTGCCTCGGCCTCCCAAAGAGCTGGGTGTTGTCATTTTTAAATTTTATTTTATTTTTATTTATTTATTTTTTTTGAGACGGAGTGTCACTCTGTCGCCCAGGCTGCAGTGCAGTGGCATGATCTCAGCTCTCCGCAACCTCCACCTCCCTGGTTCAAGCGATTCTTCTGCCTCAGCCTCCTGAGTAGCTGGAATTACATGTGCCTGCCACCACACCCGGATAATTTTTGTATTTTTAGCAGAGATGAGGTTTCACCATGTTGGCCAGGCTGTTCCCAAACCCCTGACCTCAGGTGATCCGCCCTCCTTGGCCCCCCAGAGTGAGCCCTGGGATTACAGGTATGAGCCCCACGTCCAGCCTTGTTGTTATTTTACATTCATCTTTATTACTCATTACTTATTGCTTTCTATTATGGAAAAAGAAGATTAAGCCATGTTATCCACCCACAACTTCCTTTCTCTCCAGCTTGTTGTTACATGGTTTTATGAGACTTTGGGTTCAGCATGATTAGCAAGTTCAGAGGAAAGCGTGTTTTTTTTTTGGCAGCCACCCTTCCTAATCCGCCAGCATGCAATCTGGCCTTATCTAACTCTAGGCCTCTTTTCTAGTATCCTGGTACCCTGTGCTCCAGGCACAAAGGGCAGTTTACTCTTCTGAGCGCATTCCGGGCCTGGAATCCTTTTTTCACCCCGACCAGCTGCACCTGCCTCTACGCCTTGCAGACCCCTCACCTTTTCAAGCCTCACCTCTTCAGACGCCTTCCCCACCTCACCAAGCAGAGGCTGCCATTGACTCACTGCGCTCCCAGACATCATCCCAGGACCTCTGCCATAGCAGTTGTTGGGTGAAAGAAGATTAGAGGCAAAACGGATCATTTAAGATTGTTTTCATCCTGTCATCTTCCAAACCAGAAGTGGAA